AGAAAAGCTAAAGGCTTTTTTCCACTTATAGATCCCTACTTCTATAAACTTTCCCAAGCTGTAAGGCAGCTTTGGTACATGTGCTCTCCAGATCTCGCTCGTAGCTTGGTACAACATTGCTGTCCAGCAAAGTGTCCAATGTGAAGGTTTAAGGTGCAACAACATCTGCCTTCCTTGCAGGGGTCCCACATATGAAAAAAATAACTCCTGGCCTCATAGTAGGGAGGACATCATTTTCAAATTTGAAAGTAGGTGAGCACAGTTTGCCATCTTGTCGGGCCTGTCCAGTTCTGGGAAGGGTTTAGGAGGGTCTCAGCACAGCTCATCATCCCCACCCCCACTCTAGCTTGTCTCTGAGGCTCAGCACTGGAGCTCTGGACCCCACAGGTGTTTCCAGAGCCTAATAGTGTCCTGGGGGCTGACCGGATGCACCAGCAGCAGGCCTCGTATGGTGCAGGGGTCCCTGGTGCGATCTGCTGGCCAGGCTGTGAGGAATCCTGGATGGGCACGGGGCACTAAGCCCAGGGCACGGAAGCAGAAGCCAGTGTAGACATCATCAAAGGGGAAAGGCACCACGCGGGCTGCTGCCTGCAGCAGCCAGGGGGCCAGGCGTCCTGAGATGACATAACCACCTCCACTTGCGTAGGCTGGGTAGTCACCTTCAAAGAAGGTCCTCGGCACATAGAAAGGGCCAGGCTTGCGGAGTGGCTTGGCCTGGGTGAAGACCTCACCCAGGTAGAGGCTATGGGCCCAGGTGGGTGGCAGGGTCTGCAGGTGCTCCAGCAGGGCAGGGATATGCACAAAAGCATCATCCTGAACCTGCAGAACAAAATTCACATCGGGGCAGTGGTGGCTCAGCCAGGTCAACAGCAGCAGGTCTTTGAGTGTCCGGTTGTAGGGAACGTCTAAGAAGTCCCAGAGCAGCAGGTCACCGTAGTGCTGGCTCTCCCATGTCACCAGTGATCTTAGGTCAGGCCCCCCCATTCCTAGTGGGGACCCCAGCAGGAAGAGCAACCGGGTCCCAGCGACTGTGCTGCCCCAGGTTTCCCTCACAGCCTGGCGTGCTGCAAAGTGTCCTGGCTCAGACTTGACAGCCAGGAGCAGGTAGGGGACATCCTTATCAGAGCAACTGGCCACTGGGCTGCCTCCCTCTGTAGGCAACCATAGAGGGAAGCTCCTACAAGCTGCTGACAGCAAGAAGCGCTGAAAGTCCTGGGGGTACAACAAGAAGTCCAAGATCTCCGAGGCTGCAACAGTCCCCCAAGTCTGGCAGTTTGTACTGGGCAGAACTCCCAGGTTCCGCTGCTTCTGGTTCCAGTAAGCCAAGGACAGTGGACCAATCTGACCCAGGCGTGCTGAGAGGTTGATGGGCAGGGTGGGCTCGGCATTGTGTGATGTGGGACTGAGCAGGGTGCCCCTGGGTTCAGCCTTGTTAAACCAGGACTCGGATGTCCATTCGATGTACACTTTGAGGCCCAGGAGTGTGAGCAGTGCTGACAGGCAGAGCTGGCACTTGCGGCAACGCATGACCCGGCCCAGGGAAAGGGCCACCAGTGGTGCTGCAAGAGTCACAAGGAGTCACAGAGGGTGCAGCGTGGACCTCCCAAGAGGGCCCAGCTGAGCCCAGACAAGCAGCCTAGGGCTTACCCAGACCCAGCCAGCTGGTAATGGCTTCGAAGACCCTGACCCTAGGCAGCCTGGCTCATAGTACCTAATTGTCACATTACCTTAGACTGAGCTCCACACCCGCATCCTATTTTTTCCCTTTCCTGGAGTCAAGGTGTTGATGTATTTGCGGCATCGCTTCAACGCCATTCCTATCCCCTTTCCTCCACTCTTCTGTCTCTTTTAGGAGTCCTAGCTCCCCGGGGAAATCCCTTTTACCTTCTTGGAAACCTACCTAACTCCTCTAGTAACCCCACCCCAGGGCCCGCCCCAGGTACCTCTGGGTTCGGCTTCCGCCAGCTCTGGGGGGGTCCTTGGGTCAAGCCCTGCCGGGACTCCCAGCTTGCAGCTGTGTGTCCTCCGGCTGCCGGCCCAGCCCTTGAGTCTGGAGGGGCGGGCGGGCGGGGAGGAGGCGGGAGGGGCCCCTGGGGCCGGGAGGAGCCAGGGCGGGGCTGGAGGGGAGGCAGACGGGGAGACGCGCTCTGGCGAGTTAGGGCTGGTTTCCTGGTGAGACGTCAGGAAAGGTGCAGGGATGGCCAAATCGTGGACCCGGACTGCGGACTGCGAGGGCCTGGGAAAGAATTCTAGGGAAGGGGAGGCCAAGGGCAGCTGACATGAGTGATCCAGAGGCAGTCTGGGCCCCAAAGAGAAAAGAGAAGGGAGGCCCCAAGGAACTGGTTCGAGGTCACCGCCAGGTCGTGACTGCTGTGTGTGTGTGTGTGTGTGGGGGTATGTTTGTAGGGGCCGCGAGGCAACTAGAAGAGAAGGGTGAGGCAGAAAAGAGAAAGACAGACCACAGATGGCCGGGGTCAGAACAGAGCCTAACTAACCAGAGAAGAGTCAGAGGAGCCCGGGAGGACCCAAACAAGAAAGGAAGGGCCAGGGAGAAGCGTAAGCAAGGAAAGCAATAAAGGATGATAGAGTGAGGTGCACTGAGAGCCCCCAGCTAGGGGCCTGCGCCTCCTCCAACTTGTGCATGAGCCACTACCAGCCTACCATCTCCATACAGATGGTTGGCGCCCCGCCCTGTGATGTTCTGGGCTTTATGCCCCACCCCTGGGGCAGGAGGGTGTCTGACTGTGTTTACATCTCTGCCCTAGGGCCTCTGTTGTTGAAGCAGTGCCAGCAAGACTGAGGAGGCCAGCAAGATGGGGCCTTCCCAGATCTCCAGGGACCTAGGTTGGGAGGAAGCCTGCTTCCCACCTCCCAAGTCCAGGCTGACCCCTTGCAGCCTACCTGGTTTGGTGGACTGTCCAGATATAACAGGCACCCAGTGTACTAGCACCCGAGTCTGTTATCAGTCCAGCCCTGATTTCCTCCCTCCAAGTTTGAAGAATGGAGCCCATGGGAACAGATGCAGGAAATGGTGAGTGCTAATGGGATAAGAGCTCCTGTAGGGAAGATAGCCAATGGCCAGGCAGGGTCAAGCTCACCGCCTTGGGAGAGGCTGGATAAGGCTTCTCGGCTCTCCTGGCTCATCTCCCTCTATGGCACTGAGGCTCTGTGACTGTGGCATCCTCCTCCCGAGGCCTACAGTCTCATGGGAAGCAAGCAATGCTGGTTGCGGAGTGCAGCCTCAGTCCAGCTGGGAGAATCCATACAGCTGCTGCAACCAGCAGAGTTCAGTAGAAAGCCTCTATTAATGAAGAACGTAGGATTGAGTAACAAAGGGTCAGAGGCAGAAGATTACTTTTAGGGACCACGGTTTGGAGCATTTTCACTAACTGCTCCCATCTAGTTTTTGGCTACTTTTGGGTCCATGTTCCAATCAGCCAAACAACCAGCCAGACCACTTCTGTGGCACAGGGTAACTTATTAGATCCAAAAGGCACACCTGTTCAACAGATTTGGCCCAGCTGTCCTGAGCACACACTCTACACACTTTCCGGTTTTTACCTATACACATTTCAAATTCCTCTTCTTCCTATGGGAGTTTTGCCTGCCTGTATGTCTCTGATCAGTTGCATGCCTGGTGCCTCTGGAGGCAAGAAGAGGGCATCAGATCCTCTTAACTGGAGTTAGACAGCTGTGAACTGTGGGTGCTAGGAATCAAAGGTGGGCTCTCTGCAAGAGCAGTCAGTGCTCTTAACCACTCAGCCACCTGCCAGCCCTCTCTTTCTGTCTTCTTTTGTATTCCTTGTGATCCTTTGGCTTCAGTTTCCCTAGTGCAGGAACACTGGTTTGGGGGAAGTACTAAGCGTTGAACCTAGGGCCTCGTGCATGCTACCACTGGGCAGTACTACCCCAGCTTAGAGTCTTTTTCTTATCAGTCGGGATCCAGTTAGGTGTACCTCCCTCTGGAGGAAGTGGATTTGATCCTAGAGTTTATGGTTTTGTTAGCAGTAGAGGACACTCCTGACTCTCTTTTATTAACTAACTTGGAGATAGTCTCACACTGTAGCTCTGGTGGGCCTGGAACTTGCTATGTAGACAAATTTGCCTGCCTTCTGCCTCCTGAGTGCTTTTGAAGTCTTAAGAATAATGAACACATGGGGCTGGAGGGACAGCTCAGTGGTTAAGAGCAATTATTGCTCTTGCAGAGAACCCAGGTTTAATTCCCACACAGGAGCTCACAACTACCTATAACTCCAATTCCTGGGGATCCAATGCCGGCTTCTGGCTACTGTGGGGACTGCATACATGTGACTTACATCTAGGCACATAAACAAATCTTTAAAGAATAGTGGGCATCCAGGGCCCAGGTGAGATCATCACCAGATGGTTCTGTTGGCTCCTTGGTATTGGCAAAAGAGCCTTGAAGTGGCTGGGTGCGGGGGTCAAGTCCTGATGACTCTTGGGTCCACCCCATTCCAGGAATGAAGTTCTGGGGCTGTCATTGAGCTCTGAAGTTCTCAGACTGGCTACATACACACACCCTCTGAGGACTCAAGAGCGCTCCCAAAAATCCCAGCACCCAAACCATCTTTGTGGCCATTATTGTCAGCATAGGAGCCATGGGTACATATTGCAGTTGGCAGCTTGTTGGTATCCACCACCAGTCATCAGAGATGACCTACAGGGCACACATGCCAGAATCTCTAGCATCCCCCCTGCCTTTTTTTTCCAACATGGAGCTTACTGTTGTGCTCACGCCCAAAGTTCCAGCCCTCCCATTTTTGTTGTTTTTTCGAGACAGGGTTTCACTGTAGATTTTGGAGCCTGTCCTGGAACTAGCTCTGTAGACCAGGTTGGCTTACTCGCACTCACAGAGATCCACTTGCCTCTGCTTCCCGAGTGCTGGGATTAAAGGCGTGTGCCACCACCGCCAGTTTAATTTTGAACCTTTAGAACTATCCATCTGGATCCAGTTGGGAGGAAAAGTCACAAGGTAATGCGAACAGGGAAGTTTAATATAAAGAATCATACATTTGCACTGTGTATTGGGAGTCGTGACAGTCACTGGTAACATGGGTACCAGGAGTCATTCAGTCGATAGGGACCTCACCCAGCAATCTGGGTCCTGGGGAACCACTGTACACTTCAAGCTCCAGGCAGTCCTGGCCTTTCCGTTGCGTTCTCCCCAGCGCCCTCTACTGATGAAATCTGTTGTGCCGGATGAAGGGACCATTTTCCCAAGGGTTAAGATCCATTTTCACAGAACAGGAAAACCCCACAATTGAAATACAAGTCAGTAAATTGTTCCAATTTTAGTATATGTGCTACTAAAGCGAGCACGCAAGCCTGTAAATCCATGGGCGATGCCGTAGGGCTTTTGGGGTACTGCTAGCCTTTAATGAATGTGAATACACCCTGCACAAGGAAGAACCACCACTGTAAAGAACCAACAGCCTCTCATGTTGGCCACAGTCCTGCTGACATGTATGTGGACAGTTTGGGGGAATGCTCTTGGTGAGCAGGGATAATGAGAAACCATGGCGCTGTGAGCAGCTGTCCATGGAGGGCTGTTGGCCATGGGGACAGCTGTTTGATAGCTGCAGGCAAACACCAGTCAGCACCCTGACTCAGCCTTCTTATTTGCCAATGCTCCTTTGGGCTGAATGGACCTCACTGGAAGCCAGAGTGAGAAAACATCACACTCCACAGAGCCCCACAAGATTCTGAAAGAGTGGGGCCACAGGCTAGGGAGAGACAGGGCTCGGTGTGTTCTGAGGCTGCTGGTCTGGCTCCAGCTTCAGGCCCTGGGCCCAGTCAGTGCCAAGGACCTCACAATGGGGCAACATTTCTTCTACCAGGATCTGAGTGAGGCCTGGGTGGGACACGGCAGGGAGGTCTGAGATGTCCAGCCTGCGGAGATTCCTGAAGGGTGAGAAGGGTGGTTGTGAGAGCGGCATCTGTGTGTGACCCTAACAACTAATAGTTCATCTTTTTATTCTTTGTGGGGGTGTGTGCACACGGATGGACCCCAGGGCTTCACACGTTCTGCTGCTGACCCACACCCCTAGCCCCTCACTGGGGGACTCTAGACAGGGGCTCCACCACTGAGCCACATACTGGGGAAGTCTAAACAACTATTATCACTGAACCACACCCCTAGCCCTCCAGTAAAACTCTACAGCTATCTAAATATGTGAAATTTACTGCTCACCCCGATAGTGTGACTCCCACAGAGTTTCTGTCCATATACAAAGGAAGCAAGCCTGGGAGTCAGTTGTTTCTCAAGACACAGAATGCTCAGGTGTGCTCACCTACCACAGGTACTAGATCACAACAGGGAGGGCACAGACAGACGGCTAGCAGCACCCAGAACCCCTCCTGGCTCTGCTGGCATAGGGTTGGTCTGGGCAGAGATCTTACTGGAGGTGGTGGAGGCAGGCAAGGCCCCGTTCTGAGACTTGGGGGCACCCGGCCAGCGAGAGCTCCTGCAACGAGTCAGCCAGAAGGTAGAGACGGCTAAGGCACCAGTCATCCACGTTGGGGCAGCGCTGCAGTGACAGGAACCGCAGCTCCTTCAGGGGCACTGCTGGATGAGAAGGTGGGTGGCACCAGGGCCTTTCTGGAGCCCAACACCAAAGGGGAAGCCGCCCCCCTGGCCTACTCACGGAGGTTGCTCATGCCCTGGTAGTTGATGGCACAGCCACTGGCATCCACAGCCTCCACAGGAACCTTCCGGAACTCCAGGAACTCGGTAGGAAAATGGCCACGCTCATTTGGACGGATCCACTCCTTGTCCTGAAACCTAGAATGAGGAGTAGGGTGATGAACTGCCTGGCTTCCCAAGTGTGGCCACCCTAGCAATGGTGGGAGGTCGGCACCCTCCTCACTCCTTCACACAGGACACCAGAAGCCCAGATACTGTCCAGTGTCAGAGCCAGGAACTGAGTAGGTCATGGCTGCATGTCTGGAAGCCCAGCATTTGGGAGGCTGAGACCAGAGCACTGGGAATTCAGGGTCAGCCTGGGCTAGAGTGAGACACCCCCACCCCTCAGCATACATTTACTAAAGGAAAGAGCTACATGTGTGAGTCTCTGCTGACAGCTATTTTCAGACACATCTCATCCTAAGGAGTCGGCACAAGTCCTCAGACCAGGTAGGAGTACATAAAGCCTACAGAAACAGGAAGAAAACATCCAGGGGGGCTGACGAGAGATGGTTTAGTGGGTAAGGCTGCCTGCTGCCAAGTCTGACAGCCAGTTAGTTCCTCAGGGCCTTCATGGTGAAAGGAGAACTCATTCCTTTAAGTTGTCCTTTGACTGCCACATACACACAGTGGCAAAAGCACATCTTCATATAGTTAACAAACAGATGTTAAAAAAATATATATTTAAAGCTGGGTGGTGGTGGTATATGCCTTTAATCCCAGCACTTGGGAGGCAGAGGGAGGCTGAGCTCTCTGAGTTCAAGTTCTACGAAGCAAGTTGCAGGACAGCCAGAACTGTTATAGAGAAACCCTGTCTTGAAAAACAAACACAAGGGGCTGGAGAGATGGCTCAGTGGTTAAGAGCATTGCCTGCTCTTCCAAAGGTCCTGAGTTCAATTCCCGGCAACCACATGGTGGCTCACAACCATCTGTAATGAGGTCTGCTGCCCTCTTCTGGCCTGCAGATATACACACAGACAGAATATTGTATACGTAATAAATAAATAAATATTTAAAAAAAAAACAAACACAAAAAATAAAAACAAAATAACCCCCATATATGTTTTATATATATACATTTTTTTAAAAGGGGGAAAAGGAGCATAAAGAAAGACCTTTTTTGCTGTCTGCTTTTTGAGGGAGGGTCTTGGGTCTCGCTATGTAGCCCATGTTGGCCTACAATTTCTAACTCTTCAGCTTCAACCTTCAAATCTGGGATCTCAAGGACATGCCACCATGCCCAGCTAGGAGATCCACTCAGTCTGCCCTCCTCTACCTCCCCAGAGCTGGGGTCAGAGGAGTGTGACACCTCACCAGGCAGAAAAACACTTTTTTGAGGTGGGGTTTTGCTCTGTAGCCCAGGCTGAACTCGTCAAGAGTGTCTGGGATCAAGGATTTGCACATCACCTGGCTGCCTGGTGTGACTGAGCACTGAGACATTCCACCTCATGACAGCTGTTTAGACTGAAATCCCAGTCTTTTTTTTTTTAATATTTATTTATTTATTATGTATATAGTATTCTGCCTGCAGGCCAGAAGAGGGCACCAGACTTCATTACAGATGGTTGTGACCCACCATGTGGTTACTGGGAATTGAACTCAGGACCTTTGGAAGAGCAGGCAATGCTCTTAACCACTGAGCCATCTCTCCAGCCCCATGAAATCCCAGTCTTGAAAGCAAACCCTGTATTAGCAATGACACACATAATTCTTTTACTTATTTATGGTGTTTCTGAGACAGGGTCACACACTATATATATTCTGGCTGTCATAAGACTTACTCGGTAAACCAGGTTGGCCTCTGAACTCACAGAAACCCACCTGCCTCTGTCTCCCAAGTGCTGGGACTAAAGGCATGTGCCACCATGCCTAGCTATATCTAATTTTTAAATTATTTTTTAAAGGAGGAAGTCTTAAGATATAGCCATGACTGGCCTAGAACTCACAGACCCACCTGCCTCTGCCCCCATGGGCTGGGATCAAAGGGCTGGCTGTTAATTTAAAATTTGTGTGTCTTTGTGTGTGTGTCTACAAGTGTGCATGCATGTAAGCCAGTGATGTCGGGCATTGCCACCAGATGCTTTTCCACCACATGTCTTGAGACAGAATCACTCACCTAGGGCTTGCTAGTAAGGCTAGGTGGCTGGCCAGCCAGAGAGCCTCAGGGATTGTCCTGCCTTTACCCCCTTGGCAGTGGGATCAGGGTGTACCCCACATGCCTGACTTTTACAGGGGTGCTAGACTCATGTCCTCATGCATATGTAACAAGCACTTTACCAGCTGAGCCTTCGCCTCAGCTCTGCATGCCATCTCTTTTTATAAACGACAAACTCGAGTCCTGATACAGCAGAGATGCTCCACCCTCCCACATCCTCTCATGACATCTGTCGTACTTCACTGCGCCTCCCTGCTTCAGGATGAAGAGGGCACCTGTGACATATGGGCCATATTTCTCCTGGATGTCAGCGAAGGATCTGTGGAGAAAATGAGAGCAAAGGTGAAGCCTGGGGCCTCTCACTATGTGCCAGTTCTATGAGGGAAGACTACAGGGCAGCAGGCAAGTACTGACTAGCTGGCTGCAAACCTGAGTGCCTATTCAGTGCCGTGTACTGGGAATCATAGTGGACAGAGCACATCACTGTCTCTGCCTCTGTGGAACCACCTAGTAGCAGGGGAGAGATAACAAAGCAAGAAGTAACTGCAAATCTCAGAAAAGCAGTTCTGAGAAGACGAAAAATCGGGGGCAGCCTGACAGTGGAGAATCGTGTTAAAAACCATTTCTTGGTCAGGTATGGCACACACAGAAGGTAGAAGCAGGAGGATCAGGGCTCAAATCCAGCCAGGCTGAGCTACAAGAATCTCCCTCAGTAACAAAACAAATCAAACAAAAAATGAAGCTGAAGATGGCTCAGCTCAGTTGAGGGCACTTGCTGCTCTTGCAGAGTATTCAGCTGGATTCCCAACACCCCACATCCAGTGGCTCAGAACCGCCCGAACTACAGCTCCAGAAAGCAGGGTAAAAGCGAGCAGTAAGAGAATGGATGTGGTAACTGTGATGGTTTGATGAGAATGGCTCCCATAGGCACATGTCTGAATGCTTGCTCCCCAGTTGGCAGAACTGTTTGGAAAGGATTAGGAGGTGTGGCCTTCTTAGAGGAAGTGTGTCACTGAGGGTGGGCTTTGAGGTTTCAAAATCTCATGCCAGGCCCAGTATCATGGTCTTTTTTTGGGCTTGCAACCTGTGGAGCTACTGCTCCAGTGCCAGGCCAGCCTGCCACCATGCTCCCATCATGATGGTCATGGACTAACCCTTTGGAACTGGGAGCAAGCCCCCATTTAAATGTTTTCTTTTAAAAGCTGCCTTGGTCATGGTTTTTCTTCACAGCAATTGACCAGTGACCAAAATACTAACCTTAAAATGAAAGGTATCAGGGCAGGCCACACACAGTGAAGTGGTGGGATTGACCCTGGGAATCCTCTGACACTGGTAGACTAGATGTGAAGGCAGAGAGAGACCACAGACGATGCCTTCAAATTCACCTTTAGCAACTGGGTGGCCAGTGGCACTCATCCTTAGATGGGGATGGCTTGAGAGTAAGATTTCTTTTAAAAGGGAATTGTGAGAGATATGTTTTAGCCACATATGTCTGAAAAGTCAGCCTGACCACCAAGCAGGGCTGGTGGTAGAGTGCCTATAGAGTGGAGTCTCAGAGAAGGGATAGGCCAAAGAGGAAGATGTGAGCTGATTATGCTGGCAGTGGAAGCCATAGTTTGGTCTGGGACTGACTAGAACAGGAGTGGGGGCTCTTGCTGGGAGATCTGGCCAGCAGGGTCTTTCAGGAGTCTTGCCAAGCCACAGGTTCTCACCGATTCTTCCGGTTCCCCTTCAGTATCTGCTTCCGAAGCAGGTACTCTCTCAGAGCATGGACGTCATGGAAGTAGTCCGAAAGGAACTGTAACAGCGTTCTTTTCTTCCGACTGCTGTCTGGGGTCATGGGCTCACTCATGCTATGGATGCCCCTGGCCCTCCCATTCCATTCTCGGGCACCCAAGCGCAGGAACTGGAGAAGGGGAGAGGGAGAGGATTGGGGTGAGCCTGGAGGTGGATTCCACCCCTAAATCTTACATCATGACTTTTAATTTTACCCCTTAATTCAGCCAGTCTTGATTTTCTCAAGATCTTCTAATTTTCCACCAAATCCTTATTTTTTTTCGCCCCAAACTCCCATTATATCTTAATTTCTCATCAATTCACTTTTTTTGGCAGGGGGCAGCATATGTATGCAGTATGCATTCTTGTGCCAGAGGTTGAGGCCAGGGTCTCCCTTAATTGCCCTTTACTATATATATCGAGGCAGGCTCTCTCACTTGTACCTGGAGCACCCCAACTCAGCTACTCTAGTCAGTCAGTCAGACTGAGGACAGTGCTGGGATTACAAATGGGCTGCCATGCCTGGCTTTCAGCAACTCTGGTCGTCATGCACTTCAACGTGAGCTTTAACAATGACCCAGATTTTACCCAGCTCCTTCTAGGGTCTTGCTTAACTACTAATTTCTTGGCTGCTCCATGGTCGATGTAACTTTCTCAGTGTTAGGGTATCAACAAAGCACTCTACCACTAACTACATTCTCCAATTTAATGACTATTGGGAGTTCTAGGAATTTCCCTCGGACTCTTCCTTAGAACTCCACATTCGCTCCTTGGTTCCTGCCTGCAACATCGAGTCCTTTGATTTCCTCCCTCCCTCCCTTCCTCCTTCTTCTCCTCCTTCCTTTCTTCTCTCCTGTTTTTTTTTTTTTTTTTTTTGGTTTTTCGAGACAGGGTTTTTCTGTAGCATTGGTGCCCGTCCCGGAACTAGCTCTTGTAGACCAGGCTGGCCTCGAACTCCCAGAGATCCGCCTGCCTCTGCCTCCCGAGTGCTGGGATTAAAGGCGTGCGCCACCACCGCCCGGTTTGAGTCCTTTTATTTTCTATTAAGGTTTACTTGTTTATTTACCGACGGGATTCCTGATCCCCCTGCCTCCGCAATCCCAAATGCTGGCATTAGGAGACCCTTAAATTCCCCAGGAATTCGTGCAAAAGTATCCTTAATTCTTTCTGCATTTCCCCCAAATCCCAGAACCTCGTTCAGTCCTTTCAGGTCCGATTCAAGCCGCTTTCCCAGGATTAGCAGGCCTAGTCCTCTGATTGGCTAGTCCGCCCCATCCATTGGTTTCTCTACCAAGCCTCCGCCCAGCGAAGCCCGAGACTCTCTGTGGCCCCAGAGAGGCCCACTGGCGTCCCTAGGGCAAGGCCCGGCCGGACACGCTTTGTCCCCGCAGGCTCGAGGGGAGCTGCAAAGTGAACTACAGTTGGAGGGTTCCAGGCGCCGCAGTGACCTACCGCCCTGGGCGCCGCCATCTTGCCCGATGACGTAAGTAAAAGGGCGGGACTTTCCTGCGCAATATGTGGTTCAGACGCAAACGACTACTTTTGTGGCCACACCCCTCCTTTTTTTTCTTTTTATCCTTGTTTTTAAAGACGCACAAACTCTTTAATCCTGTTGGGGTGTTCAGAACACCCCCCCCCTTTTTTTAAGAACGGTGTCTTGACACTCTCTGAAGAGGGAGGAGGCGGTCTTTCCTCTTAGGGAGCTTCTTTTCCTGACTGCGGTAGCAATTCTCTTGATTGGTTGCCCGCCCCTCTTGTACCTTTGCCCTCCTTGGCTGTTGCACCTGGTTCCCTCTCTCTCCGCTTCTCCCCCTGTTCCCACGTGGCTATGTCTGTGCTTCTGGCTATGCTCTCCCATATATCTACAACAAACTTTCTCCTTTACCATACCTAGGAGCCTCCATGTCCTTTTTAAAAATTCAATCATTATTTTAATTTATATCATTTTGTGTGTGTATACACACCCACATGTCATGGTGCACCTGGAGAGATGAACAGACCATGGGTCCCAGAAGTGAACTTAGGTTCCCTAGCATACACGACAAGCACCTTTACCCACAGAGATATCTTGCTGGCCCTATTGTGATTAGATTTTTAGAATTTTATTTGATACGTTTGCCTGCATAGATGTCTGCATCACATTTGTGCAATACCTTGAAGACCAGAGGTGGACGTTGAATCCCCGCAGTTGGAGTCGCCAGCCACCATGTGTGTGCTGGGGATGGAACCCAGGTCTTCTGGAAGAGCAGTCGATGCTCTTGTGGATTTGTTTGTTTGTTTGGTTTGTTTAGTTTCTAACAGGGCCAGGCAATGGAAAGGTGATAGCAAGTTTAGAATTCAGTATAAAAGACTGAATTTAGTTTGGAGTTCACATCTAGACTTTTATTTATTTATTTATTTATTTATTTATTTCTAAGACAGAATTTCTCTGTATAGCACTTGATTGTCCTGGAACTCACTCTGCAGACCAGGCTGGCCTCAAACTCACAGAGATCCATCTGCCTCTGTTTCCAGAGTACTGAGATTAAAGGCATGAACCACCACTGCCCGGTTAAGTGGATTATTTCTTACACAGGGTCTCTCTCAGGTACATTAAGCTGGCCTTGAACTTTATTTTTTTTCAATTAAAAACTTGTTTAGTATGAATGTGTGCGCGCGCATGTGCTTATGAGTGTGGGCATATGTGTGCTGTGGTCAGAAGTTTATGGGGCACTGGGAAAAGCCTAGGGCCTTCCCAATGAATGCTAGGTAAGCTCTTTCTCAACTGAGCCACTTACCCAGCCCCCAAATGCGAAGTCTTGGTGGATACAATCATTCATTCATTCACCAGCATTTACTGAACTCTCACAGTGAGTTCTGAGAGTCCCTTTCTCAGGGAGTTGCCATTCTAGGCAGAAAAAGGATGGATAAAAAAATGAATAAAAAACTAAAGATACTGTTTGATAAGAAGCAGAAAAATGCCAGGCATAGAGCCGCCAGCAAAGGCCTTTGCAAAAGGTGCATTTAACTGGAATGAGTGACATGGAAGAAAAAGATACCTAAAGGTTTGGAGTCAAAATGTTCAGGCACAGGTAAGAGGCAGACGTGCTGAAGTAGGCACCAGCTTGCAGAGAGGTAGGAGACAGGACCAGGGAGGTGGGCAGTGGGGCTGAGCGTGTAGGTCCAGTCGGGTTTTAGTCTTTTTACAGAGGGAGAGAGGAATTTCAAAATCTGCCTTCCATGTTGCGAAGACCTGGAGAATGTCTCTTAGAGGGCACTGGTGGACATGAGATCAACAAAGAGGCTACTGCTATAGTCCAGGCCCATGAGGACTAGGAACTAGGGAGGGGGCAGTAGTGAAAGCTGCTAGAGAAACCAGAAGGTGTTATTTATGGAAGTGGAGAGGCAGGGAGCGGTGGGTTTGGCGAGGTGGGGAGTTGGTAGATTGAATGCCCCCAACCACAAATGTCCTTGTTCTGCAGTCCTTAAAGGTGGAGGTGTCATTTACAGAAGGAAGTTTATTTGGGCTTGCCATTCCAGAGGGCTGAGTCCGTCATAGTGGGGAGGTGTGGATGGGAGCGTGTGGCAGGAGTGGCATCAGAAGCAGGAAGAGAGAGCTGAAGTACAAAGCAGAGAAAGCAACAGGAAAAGGTGGGGCTTTAAACTCTCAAAGCCCACCTCGGGTGAGGCACTTCCTTGAGCAAGCTCCCCAAGCCACCATGGACCACTCAACTGTCCTGAGTGAGCCGATGGGGAACAATTCCCTTCAAACCACCGCATTCTGACTATGTCACTTTATAAGGTAAAGACACTCCTTTACCTCTGATAGTCCCACCCCCTCACCTCTGATAGTCCCACCCCCTCACCTCTGATAGTTCTGCCCCTTTTCTTAGTAGTGTATTTATTGCTTTGTAGCCAAGGCTGACCTGAAACATGTAATCCTCCTGCCTCAGCCTCCCGAGGCTGAGATCTTAGATGTGTACCTTAAGGCCCAGTTTAAGGATTTTTTTGGGGGGTGGGGCCATGAGGGTTTCAAGACAGGGTTTCACTATGTAGTCCTGGCTGTCCTGGAACTCTCTGTAGACCAGACCTTGAACTCAGATCTGCCTGGATCTGCCTCCCAAGCGCTGGAATCAAAGGTGTTTGACATCACTGCTCAATCAGCTTAAGGACCTTGAGATGGGAATGTTATTTATTGTAGGTGACTGCTGGATCGCGAATGTCTTATCAGGATGGCCGTTGCAGAAAACATGAGTCAGGATGCCGTGAGATGGGAATGTTATTTATTGTAGGTGACTGCTGGATCGCGAATGTCTTATCAGGATGGCCGTTGCAGAAAACATGAGTCAGGATGCCGTGAGATGGGAATGTTATTTATTGTAGGTGACCGCTGGATCGCGAATGTCTTATCAGGATGGTCGTTGCAGAAAACATGAGTCAGGATACCGTGAGATGGGAATGTTATTTATTGTAGGTGACCGCTGGATCGCGTATGTCTTATCAGGATGGCCGTTGCAGAAAACATGAGTCAGGATGCCGGATGGCAAAGACTGGAGTGATGCAAGGAGAGCGGGTAGTCTGGAAGTTCAGAGAGCAGTGGGGCTTTTCTCCTGGAAGCACCCAAGTGTGTATGTGTGTGTGTGCCTGCTTGTGCTTTTATGTGTGTGTACCTGCCTATGCTTGCATGTGTGTGCCTCCCTGTGTGTGTCTAATGTGTGTACCTGCTTGTGCTTATATGTGTGTGTGTATGTGTGTGTTTGCCTGCCTGTGCTTGTATGTATGTATGTGCCAGCTGTACTTGTGTGTGTGTATGCATATATGCTCATGTTGTTGGTGCTGGTGACGGGGCCAGGAGCTTATTGCATGCCAGGCGAGCATGGACCATGTAGCTGCATTCTTAGCCTGAACCTAGAGCCCTGCTCTGCCACTGAGCTACACCCCCAGTCTCCTGTGGGCTTTGGTTTCTGAAGCACATGCTAGGGTAGCACATGTAGCACATGCTAGTGACTACGGATGACATTGAACTCACAACTCTCCTGTTTCCATTTCCTGAGTGTTGGGATTTCAGGCATATACCCCCATACCCCCATACCCAGTTATCTTGATGTGACATTGGACACAGAACATGGCCTCCTGCATGCTAGGCTAGCCCTCCAACAACCGAGGCACATTCCCAGACATCTTTGCCCCCACCTTTGGGTTTTGAGACAGGATTTCATTCTGTTTCCTTGGAAATCAATATATAGATCCTGTTGGCCTCAAATTTGCAGTGACCATCTTGCCCCTGCTTCCCAACTATTGGGATTACAGGTGTGTGTCACCCACCATACCCAACTAACCTTGTGAGTTTTTTTTTTCCCTTTTCTTTGAAAAATTTTTTTTTTTGGTGCATGTGTTGGTTTGAAAGAAAATGGCCCCCAAAGGGAGTGGCACTATTAGGAGGTGTGTCACCGTGGGGGTGGGCTTTGAGGTCTCTTTTGCTCAAGCATACTCATGGGCTTGTATGGGTCAAGGCAGAGCACTATCTGGAGCACTTCCCAGTCCTGGCCACCTGGCAGTGACACACACAATACAGCCATGCCCAAGGCCAGCAGGACTGACTGCTGTATGGCAGCCTGCAGTCTCCACACAGAGACTCTTCAGGGAGCACTGGTGGCAAAGCCGTGGCAGGGGACAGACAAGGATCAATTTGGGGGATAGCCAAGGGCATTCAACTGAAGAGGCTGAGGAAGGGGGGCTGGAGAGGTGTGAGGACCTCGGAAGGAAGACAGCCCTGCTCCTTCAGGTGTCGAGCACCAAGCACCATGTGCCCGAGGGAGTCAGCCTAAGAGGCAAGGGCGTGAAGTTAGACCTTTGCCCAAGGCTATGAGATCATGGAGGCTGGACTCCAGAAAGAAAAAAAAATGTGGCCATCTGACTCAGAGTGAAGAATGGACTTTGGGATGTCTCTGCCAGCCCCTCCTGGATCTTTCTTCTCCCCCACGCCCATCCCACAGCTTCCCAGGCAACTGGGCCCCTTGGACCTTGCTACTTCCTGCTTTCAGTCCATAGTTCAGACCATGGAGCTGTGGGTGCAGTTGAAGCAGGCCGGACCGGAGCTCCTTGGATTGGGTCCACCTCCCCAGGCGCTAAGGATGCCCCCGCCAGAGGGGAACCCTGGCCAGACCCTTCTATCCTCAGGGACAGAACTTGGGAGTGCCAGGGGGCCACTGCTGTGGATCTGGGAGGAGCTGGTGAGTGAAAGTTCACTAGAGAGAGAGAGAGATACTGTGGGGGAAGGAGTGATAGCAATAGACATGGCTGAGGCTCAGCCAGGCCTGCTGGCTCATGTCTGTAATGCAGCGCTGAGGCAGGAGAATTTCAAGCTTAAGGCTGCAGATTGTCATCACATGTGAGAAT